TTTCAATAATTAAAATGTTTAATTATCATATCTGATTTGTATCGATTTAATCTGATTAAATAAAATCAGATATTATTTATGTTGGACATAAATAAAATTGACTAGGTATGGCTTTGTAAGAGAGTGATGGTGCATGGAAAGTCTTACACTCAAGCATGGTGGAGGCATGGTGGAGGTATGGTGATGGTTAGACCATACATCCCATGTCCATAAAAAAATGTATGATATTTTTTTATGCAAGAGAGTTTTTGGTCTTGCATTTTTCTCTCCTAAAACCACCTACAACAATATACTCCCTTTTCTTTCTAAGTTTTGAAACCGTGACTAGCATCACGAGAAGATAAAGGATTCAGATTGTTCGCGTGGATACCGTGGAGGCATCAAGCTTTGTTTGTTGCTGTGATCCAGAGTTTCGCTAACTGTGAGGTATAATTTCGAAACACCCGATTTATTCCGGTTCGTATGGGTCCTTGGAGGTTTACGGTTTTATTTTCCGCTGTGCTTGAGATCCCGTAACCCAACATCCTTGTGGACAATACTCGGTACTTATATCATTTTATTACTTGAAAGACTATATTGGGACTAACTGTATACTTTCTTTTGGTCTTGATTACTAAGTCTATGGGTGTGTAAAAAGCTCGTGTCATTCATAAATATTCAGACCGTTATAAATTAACCATCATCATTTCCACAAATATCTCAATTGATTGTTTTGTATAAATGACATAATTTCTATTTGAAGCTTTCTTATATACATATATAGGTCGAGGTTCAAACAAAAAAACCTTCATTTTACGAAACGTAAGAACATTCTTATCACATATGATAATACATGTGAGAGGACCTAGTGGTGTGTAGATGACGTTTCCTGCAACCTAGAATCATGTCAAAGCTATGTTTCTGATTTGGTATCACATGTGATGGGTTATAGTATCACATCCAAAAAACCTTATTATGTGTGATAATACACCTGAGAGGGCCTAGTGGTGTACGGGTGTGGCATTCGCTCCAAATGTAGTCCACATCTCAAATTTACTTCACATGTGTATCATATGTGATGTAATATAATATCACACATGATTGACTATTGTAAAATGATATCCGCACGTTCTCATAAAATGATAATGTTCTCATTTATATGTATACATGTATATGAATATTGATTAAAATACAAACACAATTTTTTCAGTACAATAACTATGTAAGTTATATATATATATATACACACACACACACACACACATATATATATTAATAATTATAAAGTCAATAAAATGTATAAAAAACTAACAAAATGTCATCTCATACTAAGGGCCTTCTGGTTTTTAGAAATATCTTCTTAAACACTTTTGATGTATGATTCGGTCAGACATTAACATTTTCAAACTATTTTTGTTTCTTTATTTCCAGAGTTTAATATGGTCTGAACAAAAAATGGTAACTTGATTTCTTAAATCCTCTTATTCGTTTATCATGCCTCCCTTCTACCACGCCTCCATCTCCTCGAGATCTCTCAAATAGGATCGACCCAAATTGAAGCAAACGAACGGATCTCGACCCAAATCTTGAATCTTCAAGGTATATTGACCTCCCATCTAGATTTTTGTTTTGGCTTCGTCCTGTGGTTCGTCCCTGTGAGTTTTCTGGTTTTCGTCCCTGGTAGTTGATTTCGGTCTTTCATTTGATTTTGTTATTGGCAGTTGATTTCGTCCTCTGATTTTGGCCTTTGTCGGTCCTGTGGTTTTTTTGGTATTATATAAGTTTCACACAACCAAAGAGAGGGAGAGTGGGGAGTTGGGAAAACAATTTGTGCAATTTAATCCTACCAAATGCTTTCTCGTTTCAAACAATTATGATCAAGATTTGGTTTTTAAAGGTCTTGAGGAGATCTTTGTAAAGTAATATTTTCTTTAAAGTAATTTATATTAATTTGTTTAAAGATTTATTTATAGTTATCAATCATTCGAACCCATATACTAGTTTATGTTTTTATTAAAGATCACTGGCTCAAAAGGCTTGACCAACATGGTTATGTTAGCTGATCAAGAACACACTACACAGAGTTGCAATTAAAAGAGATTTTTATGGGAAATATTAATTCAAATTTCAGACTTTAAAAATTTGCCAGTTTACAAAAACAAGTAGCTTTACTAGTTCAGATTTCAGACTTCAACATCATCTCTTATAAATCAGAAGTGAAATCAGACTTAAGACTCCAGCACCTTTTAGAAAACAAACGTCACTTAAATTTAAGATAAAAACCAATGTTATTATACAAGAACTCAAATAGTGCAAGTCTCTTGTAAGAGTTTTTTTAAATGTTAATTCTTATAAAAACCTATAACTTTTTTATAATATATAAAGATGCCCTAAAATGATGAAGATAGTAAAAAAAATTAGATCGAAAAATAACCATAAAAAGCTTAAAGACGTTTCATTCTCACCTAACGATTGGCGGGAGGAGGCAGAAGGAGCAACGACCGACAAGAGGAGATGAGGCGGAGAAAGGAGGAGGGGCAAGAGATGAGAACCTAATCGTGGTAATTAAGGGCAAACTATGGAAACATAGAAACTAATTGGAGTAAGCATCATTTTGGAGCTGATCCAATCAATTTTCGATCAACATCATGATCAGATTTCAGTCAAATTTTAACTTTGATAAACACACTACTGCTGAACAAATTAGCCCAATCCACAACTATTAAATAGCCACTTAGGGCTGTTTGATAGTTGCTGAATGATTTGGTGCATAATGATTAAGTGGTTATAATGATTAAGTGGTTAGAATGATTAAGAGACTCTAATGATATAATGAAATATAATTGTTTGGTAATTGTTTACAATGAAATTATGACGCTTAAGGATTAAGGGAGACTCATGATACAAAACAATTCAGAGGGTTCTAGATCATTAAGAGACAAACTTTTTTTACCAAACAAGATTCATTTTTTAATGATTGAGATGTTGTCTCTTAGGGTGCGTTTGGTACGCTGGACAGGGTGGAACAGGACAGGACAGAACACATTTGTCCTGTGTTTGGTGTGGCCTAATATTGGACTAAGTGGAACTAACTTGGCTAAACATTGGACA